AACTCAATCTCTCTTTATGACTTTGAACTTGAGCCCTTTCTGTCTAGAAAATGGTTAAAGGAAAAAATCTTCTACTAGGGCAAAATAAGTTGCTTGTAAATTTGCCTAATAAAATGCAAGTAGTGGCAGTATTCTTTAGGCATATTGTTTGTACTTTGAGGAAGAGTTTGAAATCACAAGTTAGCAAAGAAGAACTGTAATTTAGGGGGTTCATATTTAAGTAGCCTAAAATTTGACCTGTATCTTGTGGATACAGCTAAAGAGGTGTATTGTTTTGAGAACTAAAGTTTTGTTCATTTTTTTAAGTTTAACTGACCAGTCTTCCTAACAAAACAAGATTTTTTTTTTTAAGATTCTGTAAAGCTGAGGAATTTATAACTAGAGACTACTTCTGAAAATGTTTTCATTCATCCCTAAATGTGACACAATTATTTAAACTTCAATTTATTTTGACTTTGAATGGTTCTTACCTATACTGTGCTCCTCATGAGTTCTTTCTTTTGTGTTCAAGCCAGGAATTGTGGTTGTTTTTGTTTTTTTCTTTACATGTTCCTGTGGTTTACATTTTGTTGATGATTAAAATACTAAATGTTTTTGTTACTCATCCATTTGGAAACATTTGTTTTATTTATTTTGAAGAATTTATTTTAATACCTTGCTAGAATTACAGTTGAGACACCAGGTCCCTTATCAGCTTTTGTAAACAGAGAAGATCCAGCTCTGTTAGAAGAAAAATAGTGACTGACTGGAACCAGGTCAGTTGATTCCCAAGCCGTGCCATTGGAACAGAGGCACTGATTTTCATCTGTAATCGCTCTGCAGTTCATGTTTTTTATTTAGTTACTGCCTGCACAATTCCTGCTCCAGAGAGTGCAACTAATAATTCTCTTTTATTTTCAAAATAAACAACCTCAGATTAATTGGATAATAAAAGCTTTGCTATGCTTGCATTTTTCTACTTTATATGCTATTGCTGGAAAGGCTGAGAGATAAGCTTAATTTGTTTGGAGATATCTAGAATAATGATTTCAACAATAATTCCCCAAAGATCAACTATGCATGTCTGCAGTTTTTTTTTTTTTTTTAATATGGTGATCTTTTCCCCTTCAGAGTCAGATTATCTAGAATGAAATAATTGTAGAAATCAGGAGAAGGTGGAAGCAGTGGTGCTTTAGACTGCTTTAATGCAGCATACTTGGTTATTAATAGTCCCGCAGGTTCTTCTGCTTTTCTTTGCTGCAGCATGCTGATGGTGACATGAACCACGTCAAAACGGGACAGAATGCAGTCAACAGACTTGTGAGAGCTTGGAGCTTTTGCATATTTACTTTTCCAATGCAGTCAAATTCCTTAAGGAATGGAACTGAAATAAGAGCAGTCTGGCTCTAAACTAAGTATATATCACGTTGTTGCTGTCACAAGCTATTTGCTCTTGTGATAATTCAAAATTTGAATTGAAGACCTCTGTGGAAAATCAGGCTTAAGTCTGCGGACCGCTGAAATGCAAAAGTGAGGACTGGACGACAAGATAGTGTTTTAAAAATCCCTGTGGTGCTTTTTAAGCGGATCGGGAAAACTAATTTTGACATTCTGTCCAAATTCAAATTTGTTTGATGCGTTGGGCTTTTAGAATATTTCTTCAAACTCTATGATACAAGATGTACTTATGGAGTTAAATAATGCAAAGTACGGATTTGTGGTGTGGGCCTAAGCAAAAGAGCTGTTGTATTACTCTGTTGTCATCACAGTGGCTGTCAGCATTTCTGTTTTTTAATGGTTTCTTACTTTTTATCATTGCCATTTGGATGAGCACAACTATGGCTTATCATAGGATCATAGTCAAATAGGATTTCAGATCTATGTGATGAAACCTTTGTGGTCCCTTCTCCATAAATTTATGACTTGTACTTTTTTCTTACTATTCATTCACATTCTGGTCTGAAAAGTGAAAGCAAGCACATGAGGCATGCTGCCTCATGATCAGTTATTGCACGCATTGTGATATATAGCACTCTGATAGCAGAAGATGCATTATAGTCAAGCTTGGTCTCTCCTGCAATGAAAGAGGAAGGAAAAATGAAGGTTGTGAAGGTTTCTCTTGTGTATGAATGCAGACCATTTCCTCAGCTAAACTAATGCATGGTAATTGAGCTCAGAGCCAGTTCCAAAAACGTCTTGGCTAGGCTGTTGGGTTTTGTGCTTCACTTGACTGCATGCATCCTTCCAAAGACTCTGGAGTCTTGAACCTGCTGAATCCAGCAAGAATTTTGTGACTGATTTCAGCAGGGCCAGGATCTTCTTGTTTTTCTAATAAGGCAAGTTGAAGCCAGATGAGTTCCTGCTCCCAGGTGCTAGTCCTGTGGAATGCACTAGGCTTGTAAGCAGTGACATGGGGATGGCCATGCTGATTGGTGAGGATGCGCCTCCAGACTTGGATACTGAATTGCAGATAGTTTACGTTTTTTGTCGATTGCATGGTAATGTTTGTAATAATTCATTTTGAACATAGGCTTGAATTTCTGCTGTGTTTTTGTATATAATTATATGTTATGTATATAATTATATGCTATAATGTAAAGAGTAGTTTTATACATTAGGATGTTAATCCTGTATTATTTCCAAGTAACAATTAGAGAAAAAAAAAAGGACATTAATATATGAATTTTAAGAGGGGTATTTTACTTGTTAATAAGTGATCAAAAGTCTCAAACAACATGTTGAATGCTTACTGCTGGTTTTATTTTCCAGTGGAAATTGGATATGTTCAACCAGTCTGAAATCCCTAGGAAAAGAAGATTCTGCCTTAAGGATAAGGGTTTCCTAATTCCATAGTTGCTGTGAATTAAGTAGTGTTTGGAGCAAGCTATAGTTTAGAGGCCTAACTGTGTATTTGGCTTACTAACTTAAAAATTAATTTCTAGAGAACATTCCTTTTTCCACTCAGCGAGCAGGAAAAAAATCAGTTAAGAATACTTGCAAGAATGGATTTTTCTCCATCTAAAGCTCAGTAACTCTATTGGGCAGCTTTTTGACTTGCCTTCTGCTAATGATCAGCTGGCCTTCTGAGGATGTCATGTAATTCAAATAGGGCCTGCCAGGAGTGGCTGAGTTCTTGTACTGATCCTTACTTACAGATCCTTCAGGCTCTGCAGACTTCTGTCCTGATAGTTCAGAACTGAAAAAAGTTGTAAACGAACAGAGTTGTGTTCCATCAGCAATACCACTTGCTGGCTGGCATAACGTGGAATGACTTTAGAGCAGGCAATGGTGGGTTATGGATTCATTTTTTCTAAGTGAGCACATAAGTATTTCAGTATGGGACAGTGTCACTGTAACGTATTACTGCTAATAATACCATATTGTGGCCATCCACTGTTAAAGTCTAAACCCATCTCTTCTGCAAGTCACCTGCCAAATTTAGTGATGGTCAGCCTTCAGCCACGCAAATACCAGCACACAGAAAAGAGCTTTGGGATGACTATGCCAAAAGAATAAACTTACTGTTATTTCCCACCAGATGTAAAGAAAGATTATCTGTTTTCCTTATTCTAGGTGTGCTATCATACCTAGAAATTTCTTTAGATGTTTTCAGGTGAGTTTGGCAGGGTCTCTTCTGTTAAGTCTAAATAAGTATGAAGTATTTTTACGTATATATACAAAACATATTGAGGGAGAAATATGACCACATGTGTAGTACCACGTTAGGATATAGTCTTATGTTTGTGAAAGCAGGATACTTCCCTAGGTTAGCTTATCCTGCAGTTTACAAAGATATTCATCATCTCAAACATCATTTCAGCAATAAAGCGTTAAACAGGCTGCAAATTTGGAATACTAAGTTTAAGGGTAAGCAGAAGAACTGTTGCAGATCAGCAACTCCTGTGCCCAGCATGACAGTATCCCCAGGCAGATTTGGGACAGACATAAGTATAAACAACCTTCAGACTCTGACATGAATATTCCTTGCAATTCAAACTTCGACAGAGAGCATCACAATAATAGAGATTCCCAAAATGAAGTCACAAGACCTTCCTAAATTAATCTGTGTGGTTTTGATCTGTGATAAACTTCAGACAAAGCTAATGCATTTGGACTCTCAGTGCGTTTCTTTTGCAGCTTGAAGGGTATTTTAAACTGAGAGCTATGATGATGGATAGTATATTTGCTCAACTTCCTTTCATAAAAGAGAAATACTTAGAAACTGTAGGAAAGGATTCTAGCAAAAATGCTGGAACGATTAGCTCAAAACCTTACATTATGGAGAAAAATAAGTGTTTGTTGCTAAATCATTTCAATTTTTTTGGCAATTGTTATACAGATAGAATGTGAGATAGGTTTCTTTTCTTTCTTTTCCATATAATCTTCCACATCACAGTATAATCAAAAACATGAAAAAGAAACAGTCTTTGCATCATTCAAGAGTTTCAGATGGTGCATTCATCCTGCTTGCCAAGCATAAGTTTTCTTTCTGCATGGAGAACTATATAGCACCAATATGTGTTAAGAAGCAGAGATGTATTACTAAGGCTAATACTCCAAAGAAAATGGTCCATACAGTTTTTAATGAACGCATTTAAACTCTAATTGCGTGCTGGCTCCTAGCCACTATGCATTTCAAATATTAGTCTTCAGCAGTAGACACAGCTCCCTGGATAATTCTCCCTTCCATTTACATTCACCTGTATTATGCCAACCAGCAGTTGTGGTATTATTCTTATCCATGTTCTTATCACCTATAGAGATATAAAGCTTAAAAAATGACAACAAAAAACAAGGGGGTGATTTCTTGTACATTTCCTTGATAAAGCAAATGAGCCAATTGCTAGTTTTCTAGCATACGTTAACAAATGTTAGTATAATATCTGTTATGTTCACATCTGTTTAATAGCCTCATTCAATACAACGGGGCTACTTACTGGTGCGAGCATTGCACATTGCAAAATACTTATTCTGCAATTACTGATGATCTTTTGAAAGTGTCACTCTTGGTATTTGCAGGATTTTTACCTGAAGGAATGGCTACCTGGCAGGTTCTCCAATGTGACAGAGGTACTGACTCCCTGGTCCTGGGTGCATTCAGCAGCTGTTGTTACGAAGAATGCCACTCTTTGCTCACAGCCATAATCACCTGTCATTGACAAGTGAGTCATTCTGGGCCTTCATTTGGCAAAGTTTGCAGAAACATGATTTTTTGGAGGAGGTAGAGGGAAGTGAGTTAACAAGGCACACAAGGTCAAAATTTCAAACTGGTCATACAAAATATGAGTTTAGAGAAGGCTTTTGCATATCTTTGCATTCCCCAGCACTCTCAAACTCTTTTTTGCTGTCTTAGGGTAACCTGCATATTCTCTTAAGCTAAATGGTATTATTAATAATAACCACCAGCCAAATACTGCATTGCTGCCTGCACTCATTTGTAAAATTGATAACCAACATCGCACCCTGAAGTGCTTCTTATATTATGTAACGAACCAAATATATGCATCTTCCTGTCGCTGCGTACCATCATCCTTCAGGTCTTTGCAATTGTCTCTTCCTTTTTCAAGTGAAACCTCTTCTGCCCCTTTCTTTCCCTGCTCTGGTTTTTGTTGCAATCACCCCAGCTGAATCCTTGTCTCTTCCAAACCACCCATATGCCCCTATTTTTCATGTCCTCTCTTTATCCTGCCCACACCAATAACAATGTCAACAATTTCACCCTCTAAGAAGATTGAGCGTGGCAGAGTCTGGGGCCCTGAGGCAACAACAGTGTCTTCTATTGGTAAGAAAGCAGCAGGGTAACCTGGCTATGTGGTAACAACTGGAAGTTGCTAACCTAAATTTGAGTGCTGGGTGGGACAGGGCTGGTCTTCAGCATTACATAAACTTAAAGAAAATGAAGGGTGTGTTTTCAAAGACCCAATACAGCAACTTTACTTTGAAGTTGCGTAGCTGACTCACCTGGTCTTCAGATGGGAGCACACCACCAAACCTGGCACCTACTTGGACATTTGTGTCCTGTGTTCCAGAGTTGTCACACAGAGTGTCTTGGCACGAGAGGGGCCTCTGCCATCAGTTTGCAGTCCCCACTTCTGAACATTACAGAAGAACTCTTGAAGGGAATATCTACATCCAGTGGCACCTTTTCTTCTGGTGTGCCACCACGGTGAGTATCAGCAGCCCCCTCAGTACAGGCACGATTGCTGCTTTTCCATACATTTCCTTTTGGGGGTGGGATATGTGTGCAAGATCCTTCTGGCAAAACTTGGGCATTGGACTTGCTTCTGCAAAGAGGCAATGAATAACTGCTTGTCTGCCTACAAGAACTGTGCACCTTTGGGATCAGTTCCCTGAGACTGAGAGAGAAATCTTCCACATAGCAACTGCTCACACCAATAATCACCTGACTGGCAGCTGCCTTGTTGGAGTGCTTAGCTTTGTCTTTGTGACAAGGACACTGAGCGTGCACTGTGCTTTATTAATCCATGTTTGTGTGATTTCTGTATAAGAAGAATGCTTTGCACCACTTTTCCCTGCTGAAAGCAGCTGGTAAGGTGCGGTAAGGAGGTTATGGTACCAGGCACTGCAGCATTTCAAATCCTGTCCCACAGGTAACACGCTCACTTAAAACTCAGGGTGTTTTCTAATACTTGGAGCATAAGGCAGCAGCAAGGTAACGATCTTCTCCTAGCCCCCTCCAAGTTCAAGTAAACATGAGAACTCAGGAGCTGAGGGTGAGAGTCACTGGACTTCAGAGAGACTCTAAAGCTGGGAAAGCAAATACCCTTGTAACTTTTCTCTGTTCGTTTTCTTATTAATCATTTTAACTCACATCTTAGATTTTACATCATTTGTAAGGTTTTCATGGTAAACATTATCTTCTAGTACATGGATCTTCTATGTACAGGGATCACTTAGTGCAGAGTATCTCTGATCTCTGCTTGGATACAAAGGCAGATGCTACAATACAAATAATAATTTATATTGTTGTTCTGTGCTGAGATACAAAAATTATTCTCAATAATGGCATGCATGCGACCTATTGTGTACTGTATTTCAGTTCAGATACGGAAACGATTTTGGAGTTGAGTCACATAAAAGCAGGTAAAGTAAGTTCACAATATCACTGGGAAAAAGAAAATCCTCTAGCAGCAGTTATCTTTACGTTTCCAGACGTTTTCTGAACGTGGTGCCTATCCCTTTGGACCAGACATATACTACATTTGAATGAAGGTGATTCTCGTTCTTAAAATTCATATATGTAAAATGAGGGATGCACAGGTATTTCTAGATTTTTACTGCTTAGCATTTGTTGGACTTCTGTAAGAGTCCAAGTAAGAAGAGCCTAGTTGCTCTTCAGTGTGCTCAAGAGAAAAATAATAATGACCACATCAGAAAAAGTTTCCCACTGGCCCTGTTTACATTAAACAAGACAAAATTAGGCCACCTCTTAGGCAAGTCTTTGGCCACAAAAATTTCTGACTTTTAATAACATATAGTGCCTCTTTGAGACAAATGGAATCCTTAGAATCCTTTTTATTTAGAAAAGAGAAATGGGTTTAGAAATAAAGCAGAGAACAGCTTGATCATGTCATATGAAAAGGTAAGAGATTTCAGGCTAGTAGTTCTGGAAAACTAAGAGGAGTGATGTGACATTGCTACAGACCATTTGGCATGGGTAAAAGGTGTTAATGCGTACTGAAGAGTGTAAGTCCTCACTATAATTGCAATCAAGGCCTCTCTTTGCTAGAGATGAAGTAGAAAAAAAATGCGGAGTTCTGCATTCGAACAAGATGGTGCCATGTACCTCTGTAACAATGTCCTTGTGAAGAACACACATGAAAATAAAGCTGTGTTGCTTTGCAGGCAGACTTAGCCAGGATCCTTTCATGATGTTTTTTAACAAGTTTGCTCATGGTAGGCAGGAAAAAAGGGAAAAGTCCTACACCGAAATGAACATGAAAGGTGAAGTGGCCATGACTAGCACTTCTCTTTTGTTTCAGGTTCTCTAAGTACTACACACAACTGTGACATCAGCCATATTTTTATGGTTTTTAGCAGTATTAGAGTTCATTGACTGACCACGAACAGTGTTACTTTCTTCTACCTTTCACCCTAAACCAGAATGTCACATCTTTTTGCCAGCACATCCCACATCAGAAAAAAAAAAATCTCTCTATATAAATACATATATATACATATATGTAAGTAGCATCATTTTACAGACTGTTTATTATCTTTTTGTGGGTTTAATGTCTGGATGAGCTGTGGTTTTGTTAGAATAAAATGTGGCCGAAAGATTGCAAAATTTCATACTTAAATCTGTATGTGGTATTTTTAAAAGTGTCAAGCAATGATCTCTAGTAGTCCCTAAAGTGACGGGAAAGAAATGTGGAAAGTTTTTAGATGTGCAAGATGAACTGAATTAATAATGTGTGTGTTGAATATGAATTTATGCACATTCTATAATGCCAGTATTGAACAGGAAACAATCAGTGTGAGGTTTTGGGTGGGAGCAACATTGCTGCATAGACTTAGAGTTGGGAGACCTTCACTGTGTTTGTAGCTTGCTGCTCTGTGACCTTTGGCAGTTGCTTCACTAAATTCAAACTCTGTTGGGAGATCCCGCTTTCCTTCTTGCCCTTTCCTTGGCCTACTTTGGTTGTAAAGTTTCCCAGCTAGGAACTGTCCCCACCTACACTTTGCACTGACCACATAAAGTATGTTAAATATAGAATTTATTTGTTCTCAGCTTACTTAATAGCTTAAAATACTTGATTTTTTCAGGTGTAAACACTTGCAGTGTTTAATCCTAAGAGATTTATACAAACAGCAAATAAAAGCGTTTGCTTGATAGGAACTAGTGAATCAGGAGGTTGTTTTCTTCCTGTCCCACTTTGCTCTGATCTTAGATATAGTTCTAAGAAATAAAGGCAGTTCAAGATTCCTAACGTACAAGTCACGGTGGAATATGATATGTTGTCCTGGGAGAAGACATCCATGCTATGACACAGTAGTTGTGTGTGTAGTCAGCACTTCCTTTGGAATATTTCTTGAGAAATATTTGACGTGCAGTTCATATTTCTGCAAAAGAGAGAATAAATATGCTGACGACTTCCAAGTGGGAACTGCACGCTCCAGTTCTTGTGAGCTGCGTGTGTAATTTTCCCGTTATTGTTTTCTAATATAAGTCTTCAAATTGGCTGCACATGTTCAGTCATTTCAACCTTCCAGTTATTTGATTCTATGAAACGTCAGTGCTTAACCCTTTCCCATACCCTTCGGATCAGTTATTCTCACCATTAAGGTAACCATTCAAATGAATGGAAAAGTAAGATCAATAAATTGGCTTTTGTGTTTACTATTCAAAAGTCAACATCAGAGGCCTGATTCTGATGCCATGAGAGCTTTGTGTAGGAAGTAAACACAAAGCTACTTAAATAATGTAGCAATGAAAGTTTCATTTATGATTTTTGTGTTCACGCTGTGAGGACAGCCATAAGCATGTTTTTCTATTCCATGTCAGAGGAGTCCACTGAACACTGGAAACCAAATCTGACTAAAAAGAAGGACTTTTTTTTTTTTAAGTACAGGAGAGAGTTTTGCTTGAAGTAATTTAATCAGAGAATTCATTAATGTTGTATGCAACATGAATTCGCCTCCTGAAATATGTAACTATTGCTGTAGGTTGGCTCATCCATATCACTGCAGTATGAGTTTATAAAATGTATTAATGTACCTACCTTAATCTTGCCACAAGAGGTAACAGGAGACAAAAGAATGGAGTTTGGATTTGATGTCACTGAGGTTTGCTCACTGGACTGCTTCCCTTTACTATCATGTTTCGTGTGAATACAGTTAAGCCAGGTTATGCCCCATGTTTAATCTAGGTTATGTTATTTTTTGTACTAAAAACTTGAACGTTTGAACTGAAGCAAAGTATGCATGGTTATAAGATAGTATGTGCAATTAGTTCTAGGGTTATACCCATCCACGCTTATGTGAGGTGTTTCTGTGGAAGCACTTAAGATCCAAACTTTCTTCTTCATGAGTGAAGGTTATTCTTCTATAAATTTATCCCAGGGTAGAGATCCCACAATAGAAATGGAAGAATACTGCCACTGTAATTTCAAGTTAATCTGTTTTAGTAAAAAACACATGCATGAATGAGATTTAAAGCAATGGTACACCAACTACTTATGCCAGAAGTAAAGCATCTCTCACCCTCTCCTATACATTCTTTCCATGGCTTATAAAATTATCTTTGTATGAGAAGTATCATGTGAAGTGTCAGGCCACATAAACCTGTAAACATTATTTGCCTGAACACCAAGAGGCTTGATTCAAATGTTTTAAAGATAATTGCATCAGAGTTCCTGTGGGTTATGTTCATCTTAATGGTGGTGAATCAACTGATAGTGTTTCCCCAGGGCAGAGGCATAAAGAGATGTCTTAGCAAAACTCATCCGTAAATTTTCTCAGGTCCACAAGACAATGCCTCTGACTGCAATGTCCTCCAGATAACAGAGACAGCAAGTAAAGCTATTTGAAGACTACAGCTGAACAGCTAATGGATACTGAGCTCTTTTCTGGTCAGTGGAGTATTCATGAACAGGCTTCTGTGTTTGTTAGTGATGGTAGCTGCCTGCCTCATTTAAGCAGTTTAGTCTGACAGCAAATTCACACGCTCGCACAGCTCCTATTATTTACTGCCTAGCTGAAGTCACTGTCTAGCTAGACCATGAAACACTGTTGCTGTCTCTTATGAGAAACCCTCCAACAGTTCTTCACCTTCAAGCACTATGGTGAATTTAATGTGTTTTGATACTTTTTTTTTGAAAAAAAAAGAAAAAACAAAGATATGGCAGTTATTTTTGCTGTAGTGATTACAATCTGTTTTTGTCTTGAAAATTCAGATCTAGATGTCAACGTGAGGTTTGGCCCTCCTTCAGTTTTTGTATGTTTATGAATGATCCAGGTACAGGTTTTTACTTTCTTTTTTAATTATTTTTTTTAAACAGAAGCATAGTATTCACTGGAGACAAAATTAAATTGGTATAAAGCTTCCTTAGGTTCTTACTGCTTTTTCCTCTTCCCAGACTCACTCAAGATGTTTTGGCACAAGTTCAGTATTAAATCATTGCCACTCCATCCCCTTTCTGGCTG